GGCCCCTGGGGGAGCCCAGACTGTTCTTTATCCGCCTCCTCGACCTGCAGCCCAGGGTGAGTGCTGTGGGGGTGGGGCCCGGGGAGAGGCCACCCCTCCAAGCTGGACGGAGCCGGCTCCCGGCCCAGGGCAGTGGTCTGGTAGTGGGGCTTCCTGCTCCTGCGACTTAGAACTTCCACTGGGCTCTCCAGGGTCCAGGGGATGTCAACCCCCCCCTCCCCGCCCCCACACCCTCTCTGCTGCAGACTCCTCCCCCAAATCTCTTCATAACTGCACAGAAGTGGGCGCCATCAGACCCAGCGAGGCTCCTAGGGACACCTGTGGTTCTAACGGCTCTTTCCGTCCCTCTTCCCCCAGGAACCTCAGCGGGTCCACACTCACCCTGTCGCCCTTCGCCAGGGAACTCCCCGGGGGCCCCTGGGGGCCAGGAGGGCCGACCCTGCCCTGCAGGAGAGAGCAGTGAGCAGGCTGCCGGGCCCGGGCACAGGGGGCCCGCACGGGGGACACTCACCGGGAGGCCGGGGGGGCCGGGGGGCCCGTCTCGTCCTTTTAGACCCTAGAAAGGCGTGGCCAGTGAGACCGGGCCGCCTGCCTCCCCTGCCCCACTGACCCCCAGCCAAGCTCTCCCCCACCAGGCTGCTCACCATCTCTCCAGACTCCCCCTTCTGGCCCTGGGGAAAGACACGCCGGACAAGGGTCAGAGTGGCCAACGACAGGCATGGCCCTCGCCCCCCTCAACCCTGGACACTGACCTTCGGACATTGCACCGTGCAGGGCTGTGGCTGCGGACACAGGGTCGCCTTAAGGCCAGGCAGTTCTACCGAGAGCCGCCAGACCCCCTCTTCTCCATGCCCCAGCCCCCCAAAAGCCCCTTCCAAACCTGCGGGGCAGAGGCTGCCTGGCACAGGGCTGCTGCCAGACCACTGACTGCCCGGTCCAAGCTGGGCCCGTCGTCCACAGCGAAGAAGGTCTGCACAGGGCCCGTGCCCGCCGCCAAGCGACGCAGCTGCTCCAGGTCAGCCCCCGCCAGGCCCAGGGCCATCACTTGGAGCCCTAAGGAGGGTCCACAGCCTGCATGACACCCGCTGGGCCAGCCCCCCGCCAGGCGACCCTCCCAGCAGCCCTGCGCCTCACCAGCAGCCTGGGCCTCACGGATGGAGTGGAAGATGTCGCCTCTCAAGGGCTCGTCCACTAACAGAACCATCACCCCCGGCGCCTGCCCGCGGCGTCCGGCAGCATCTGGTGCCAACAGGTATCTCTGGGCTGAGGCCACGGCTGCGCCTGGAGCAAGGACGTGTCAGAACCCAGGCGCCGAGCTCCCGACGGGGAGCCCACGACCCCCGTCCACTGCAGCCCTTACCCAGGTTGTTCCCACTGGGGTCCAGGTAGGGGATGTCGCGGATCCTCTGCAGGACGACGCCGAGGTCATGGGAGCCGTTCAGCGGGAACAGCGGGGAGGCCCGGTGACTGTAGGACAGGAGGCCCACCTGGGGGAGGGGACACAGAGCCTGGACGGGGGACCCAGAGCCCGAGGGGCAGACTCAACCTGAACCAGTAGGGGCAGCAGTGATGGCAGGAGAGGGAGCCGAGCAGCAGGTCAGACCTGGCGCCTGGGGAAGGGCTGGGAGGAACCCTGGGCCCGCGGTAGGTGGGGAGAGGGTAGCTGGTGCGGAGCCCAGGGTGGGGGGCAGTGGGACAGGCCGGGGTCGGGCTGCCTCTGGGGCCAAACCTGGACCGCCTGTGGCCCGAGAGGCCCAAGTGCGGACACCAGACGCTCCAGGGCTGCCTTCACGGCGGCTGAGCGATGGGCACTGTCCCGCGTGGTGTGTACCAGGAACACCACGTCCATCAGGCCTCGGGGACACGCTGCGGGGGGGGGGGGGGGGGCGAGTTACTGAAGAGGTCGGTGCGTCTGGCCACCCCCCCCAGCCCCTCCCCCGGTGCCGCCATACCTGGGCTCTGTGTGACCGAGGCCGGCGGACCCTGGACACCCTCCTGGACAGGCGTCAGGGAGAAGACGTAGGCTATGCCAGGCTCTAAGCCTGTCACCCGCTGGGAGCTCGAGGTGCTGGGCAGTGTCTGTGAGGCCCCGGGCACTTCTGCAGAGGACAGCACTCGGCTAAACAGCAGCCCCCGTGGGGCCCCCTGCCAGCCCCCCGGGCCCTGGCCTCCCCTCACCTCGGCCCCCAAGTGGCCTCCACGCTAGGATGTAGCTGGATGCTCCAGGCACCGGGCTCCAGGCCAGAGTCACCGAGTCGACTGAAGTGTCCACCACACGCAGCTCAGTGCCCGGGACTCGAAGTGACTCTAAGGAGGAAGTGAGGGCCGGGCTCAGAGTCTGTGTCCTGAGCACCCAGAGGGGGGACCTAAGGGGGTCCCGGGGCAGGGTCATGCTAGGGAAGAAGGTGACCCGGGAGGTCAGGCTGGGGTCACCCCACCCCCAGGGATGGTAGGGGGGCTACAGGGGAAGTCACTCAAGGTCACGGGGTGCAGGAAACCAGGAGGGTGGTCAGTGGGGAAAAGAGCACCTGGGAAGGACGGGCCCTCTGGGCTCACCCGTTTGCGCGGTCACCTCCGTGGGGGGCCCTTCCCCGGAAGGCCACAGGACACTCAGCCACACGTGGTACCGGGTCCCGGGCTCCAGCCCGTCCAGTTCATAGCCGCTGAGCTCGGGCCCCAGGACCCGAGACTGGTCCTGGCCGCCTGGGGCAGGCGTGGGAGGAGGGGCGGGAGGGTGTCACAGCCCAGCGCCAATGGACCTGCCAGCTGGCTGGCCCGCACCCACCTTCCTGACCGTGACCTCGCAGACCACCAGGTCCACCTCCTGACTCAGCTTCCCCATTCCTGCTGCCCCTGCCCAGTGGACAGGCTCTGCCCGGCTGATCCCCGATGGACGCGGAGGCCACAGACGCCCCTGACAGGCCGTGCCCGCCA